TACTTCTGGTCCTGGGATGTTCTTTCACCATTATCCCAAACTAATCTCCTTTATTGGATCACCTGTTTCTTGGATTTAGTGTCTTCCATCATCTTAGTGTATTCCCTTACTATGCTGGACCATGTCCTTTAATAGCCTCCTGAGAGAAAACAGGAGATAAATTTTATGGACTTCTCCCACATTCACCTCTAAAAATGTCTCTGTTCTACCCATACCCTGGTTCATTGTTTAGCTAAGGTATAGTATTCTAGGTTGGAAGTCATTTGAAATTTTGAAGGCATTGTTTCCAGTGTTGCTTTTTAAGTCCAGTGTCAACTAAAATTCCTGGTCCTTTGTATACAATGTATATTTTTTTCTCTCTGAAAGTGTTTGGGATCATCCCTTTTCCCCTGTACTTTTGTTTGTCTTTAACCATACTGTGATGAGCTTAGTGTGCATCTTTTTCAGTCTGTTGTGCTAGGCTTTTGGTAGGCTCTCATAATCTGGAAACTCATCTTCAGTTCTTTTTCTTACCTTTTCTCTGTTTCCACTTATCTGTTTTTCTCCTTTCTGGGAGATTTACTCAGCTTGTTGATTTTAGTGTTTCCTGAGCTTCCTTTATTGCCTCTGTTTCCCCAGACTCACTTTTCTGTTTGCTGGTTGGTTTCTTTAGATCTCTGCCCTTTTTGTTAGAGGTTCTCCTCAAATATCTGGTGATTCTTGGCTCTTGGTTCATATTTAACGGTGAGGCTCCAAAATCTAATGATTGGAAGCTCGTTCTGTGTGCCCGGTGGTGGGACTGGCTGAGTGCCAGGCCTCACAGTGGGTGGTGGGGAAGGACCTGGCTGTTTCTCGGGGGACTTCAAAGTGTCATTACCTCTAAGTGTCTCCTCCTGAACAGGAAGGCAGTCATCTGACCACGTGGTTTGGGGGAGGTAACTTAAGGTCTTACGATTCTTTGTACGAATTTTCACAAATTTTCATTTTTAGCCCTGTTCCACACTTCTGCCCTCAGATATACCTGATCCCATGAATTCTTGAGCTTTTCTAAGATCTGGAGAAAACCTTTATTAATCATTACTTGACTCATAGTGGTACTGAGGTAAATAACAGTAGTAGGTTTGGTGCTGGTGATGTTATTCACATTTCTTAGACACTCAGGTGGAATTCCTCTAATTTTCTTTTTTTTTTTCTTTAAAGATTTTATTTATTTATTTTTAGGGAGGGAAGGGAGGGAGGGGGAGAGAGAGAGAGAGAGAGAGAGAGAGAGAGAGAGAGAGAAACATCAATGTGTGGTTGCTGGGGGTTATGGCCTGCAACCCAGGAATGTACCCTGGCTGGGAATCGAACCTGGGACACTTTGGTTCCCAGCCCGCGCTCAATCCACTGAGCTACACCAGCCAGGGCTTAATTTTCTTTATTAGATATTTATATATTATAAAAGTACAATGTTCTCGTTGTAACAGTTTAAACAATTCTGTAAATACACGAGGTTCATCCTGGTAGTGCCCCTCCATTTCTTCCCTTGACATACCCTATGTTAACTGACTGCCGTGTATCTGATACCTTTCTTACTGTTGTACAAATACACACAAAACTTTTCTTTCCTAAAATTTAAAAAAAAAGACTCATATTTACACATTCTGTGGATAACTTTAATCATTTAGTATATCACAAACATCCCTCCAGGTTAATAGAATTAATACCAACTCATTGTTTTTAATAACCAAATATTATTTCATGTGGTTGTACCATAATTTACTAAACCATTCCAGTGTTACTTCCAATGTGTTTGTTTTGTCTTTTACTATTCCAAACAAGGCTTTCTTTGTTCTGTTTTTTACTCTTCCAAATAACGTTTCAATAAATATCCATTTATATATCTTCTTACACACTTTTATTTCTTCTTTGCCTTCTCAAATCTGGAAGTTTCCGTTTTGATTCATTTGTCATTTGCTTAGGGTACTCTATCTAGCATTTTCCTGCAATAGGATACCAAGTCTTGCCTGTCCATAAATGCATTCTCCAGTCCCAGACACGGCAGGCCGTTAGAGACCCTATAGCAGTGACCTACTGGGCGGTAGTGGGTGGCTTGCAGTTTTTCCTCCCAGCAGCTGGGAGTCACACCAGCCGGAAGACTGTGAACTCTCTGCTTACAGGTCTCGTGGCTGTATGTGGCAGTCCTTGTCCAGCTTCAGGGAACAGTTCAGTTGTCACTGCAGCCCTGTCTCTTCTCCTGCCAGGCCCCTCAGAATCACAGTGAAATGGAGGTCTTTGCCTCAGGCTGGAAGAACAGTCTAGTCTGCCCTGCCATCAGTTGGTTCTGGTTCTGCCCTCACTTGAGAGAGTGGAGCGGGGTAACCCTCCCTGGCTTTCTTCCCTTGGAAATCTCAAGAGAACTTTGGACCTCGGAGGGACTGCCACAGCACTCTGCTTTTGTTCTCGTGTTCCTGCATGGGGTAATTGGGCCTCAGATGAGGTCAAGAATTTGTGCCCTGACCATCATCTTCCCAGAATCTCTTCTGAAGCAACAGGCTTTTTTTTTTTTAATGTTTCAGATATTTTCAGAATTACTCAAGAATATTCTATTTCCTGTTGCTTTTTTTAAAATGTTATTAAATTTATTGAGGTGGTGTTAGTTAATAGGGTCATATAGATTTCAAGTGTACATTTCTGTGGCACATGATCTATATATTGCATTGTGTGCCCACCCCCTAAAGTCAGATCATCTTCTGTCTCTATATAATTGGCCCCTTGTGCCCTGGGCTACCCTCCACTCTTCTTCCCTCTGGTAACCACCATACTGTTGTCTGTGTCCACGAGTTTCAGTTTTATATCCCACATGTGAATAAAGTCATATGGTTCTTAGCATTTTCTGACTGATTTCACGCTGACTTATTTCATGCTTATCCTTAGCATGGTGTTCTCAAGGTCCGTCCATGTTGTCACAAGTGGCAGTATTTCATCTTTTCTTATGGCTGAGTAGTGTTCCATTGTATACATGGACCACATCTTCTTTATCCAGTCCTCTGTCAAAGGACACTTTGGTTGTCTCCATGTCTTGGCCACCGTGAATAACGCTGCAGCGAACGTAGGGGTGCATAAACCTTTGCGAATAAGTGTATTTAAGTGTTTCAGGTAGATAAGCCAAAAGAGAGATTGCTGGGTCATACAGTAATTTTAGTTTTAGGGGGTTTTTTTTTAAGATTTTATTTGTTTTTAGAGAGAAGGAAAGGGAGGGAGAAAGAGAGGGAGAGAAACATCGATATGAGAGAGAAACACCGACCAGTTGCCTGTCCTAGGTGCCGCTCTTGCAGGCATCCCGACCAGAGACCCATCACAGCAACCCAGGCATGTGCCCTGACCAGGAATCAAACCAGCGACTTCTCACTTTGTGAAATGATGCCCAACCAACTGAGCTACACTGGTCAGGGCTCCATTTTTAGTTTTTTGAGCAACCGCCATACTGTTTTCCATAATGGTTGTACCAGTTTACATTCCCACCAGCAGTGAATGAGGGTTCTTTTTCTCCACCACCTCTCCAACACTTGTTATTACTTGTCTTGTTGATAATGGCCGTTCTAGCAGCTGGGAGATGGTGACTCGTTGTAGTTTTGATTTGCATCTGCCTAATAGTTAGTGAAATTGAACATCTTTTCACATATCTAATGGCCATTTGTATGTCTTTGGAGAGGTGTCTGTTTAGGTCTTCTGCCCATGTTTTAATTGGATTGTTTGGTGTTAAATTGTATGCATTCTTTATATATTTTGGGTGTTAAGCCCATGTTGGAGTTGATGTTTACAAATATCGTCTCCCACTCATTGCTGGCTTTTTTGTTTTGCTGTCAGTTTGTTTTGCTGTGCAGAAGCTTTTTAGTTTGATATAGTCCTGTTCATTTATTTTTGCCTTCACTTCCCTTGCCTTTGGGGTCACATTCATAAAATCTTCTCTATGATCCAGGTCCATAAATTTAGTAGCTATGTCTTCCGCTCTGTGTTTTGTTGTTTCAGATCTTCTGTTTAGGTCTTTGATCCATTTTGAATTAATTTTTGTGCAAGGGGACAAACTGTAATCTAGTTTCATTCTTTTGCATGTGGCTTTCCAGTTCTCTCAGCACCATTTATTGAACAGACTTTCTTCTCTCCATTGGGTGTGTCTGGCTCCTTTGTCAAAAATCACTTGCCCACATACCTGTGGTTGCATCTCCAGGCTCTCAGGTCTGCTCCACTGGTCTGTGTGTCCGTCTGCCAGCACCATGGTGCGTGCTGCCTATGCAGATGGACACTGACCCTGCCCTATAGAATTTTACTGTCTGGGGAGAGAAGACTGTTGAAAGTTAATAATCTTGCCATTGAGAGCAAAAAGGTATTAACTGAGATTCTTTTTAAAAAGAACATTGAAGTGGTTACATGGAAGAGACTGTACTCTGCAGTGACTTTTTTCCTTCTCCCTCAAGTTGCTTAATGACCTTTGCCACCTGGCTTAGAAATCCAGCATAATGTTGCATTTGTGTCTAAAATCTGCTTGGTTGGTTCTCAAGTAGACTTTTGGAACATAATCTTTTCATAAATTGAGGTCTGGTTGTATGTACATTTTGTAATATGTTACACTTTTGGTTCTATTTTTATGATTGTAATTCCCTATTTCCCCTTCAACAGTTTTTCCTGATTAAGGATATTGTAGTAGCTGGCCCCCTTTATAACGATTTTAAGAAGGTCTTATAGTATGTGATTTGTCTGTTACTGTATTATTTCATTTGTTACATTGAGGGGGAAAAAACACAGGAAATGGCTTACTGCCTTCCCAAAAAGATACCAGAGGATAGGAGCGGGGATGTAGTGGTCATTTAGAAAAAAGACAATGGGAAGGTGACTTGGGAGGTGATTTTTTTTTCCTGCCCAGTGCTTTTCAAAATGACATTATTCACCGTAGTTCACTGCTCACTTGTAGGGGTGTGATGGGTCCATGCAGGATCATCTTAAATGCCAATTTAATTAATTTCTCTTTTTCTCTCTTGCAGCATTGCTATGGCAACAAAAGAAAATATGACTTCACAGAGAGGAATGTTGAAGTCGATTCAGAGCAAAATGAACACTTTGGCCAGTATCCTTTTTGAAAGTTTGAAATCTGTGTCTGTTATGAGGGGAAATAATCTGAGTGTGTGCTTTCCTCTCACAGGGCCCCCCTGCCCCCCCAGCCAGCTGGTCACCATCATCAGTAGTTGCAAAGGCCATCACCGATGACACAATACAGGTGCACCCTGCACCCACTTTATGAAAGTGCATCGTTTAGTGCCATTTCTAAAAGATTGCACACCAGGAGTTATCAGGTCACGAAAAAAATTATAAATGTGAATTTTCAAATTGTACACAAAACTATTTTACTCTTCACAAGCTCTCATGCCATTGTTAGAACTCCATAGTATACATTATTCTTACGTAAGTACCATAAATTATATGCTTTTCCTTTTTTCAGCTTGGAGAATAAGTCAGTGGCAGATGCTTAAAGGGGAAAGAAGGAGACACACAGACATACACGTAGATGAGCTGTAACTGCTCACAGAGTATTTCGTTGTGACTTGGTGTGTACAGGCCGAGCTGTAGGGCAGGTTCACTGCCTGTTTGTTGTGACCACTACCGCACTTCCTCCCTTTCCCAAGTTAAACTAGTACGGGGGACACCTCTGAGAAACCCAGGGGGCCAGCTGATAAGCCTGGCTCTGAAATGGTTTGTTTACAAGAAATCAAGCCTCTTGGGGAGGGGGATAGTTCCCTTCCCCAATTACTAAGTGGGAAAGGACCGATATAATTTTCAAAAGTTTAGTGTCTTCTCATCTTGGATAATTTAAAGTCACTTTTAGTTTGATACCTTAGTTGCTTCGGGGAAAGAATATTCTGAAGTGTGTTGGTATTTTCCAGTTTTTTTTTTGTGAATTTTGTTGTGAAACCACACATCCAAAATCATTTATATTTTATGTAGGGCTATACAGTTTACAGAATACAGTTCTGTACATTATCTCATTTTATCATTATCACAAATTACAATCATTTCAAAAGAATGTGTGTTAAAAAATCAAATAAAATGGGTTTAAGTTAGCACCCCATAGAGAGGTAGTAGTAGAAACTGAATTCAGACTGACTTAAGGGAGAAAGGGAGGGAATTAATTTATTCATATATCTGTAAAATCCAGGGATAGAATAAGGTATGGCTGGATTCAGGGCCTCAAATTTTATGATCAAGTATCTGTTCTTCCTCTCTCTGCTCCCTCTAGCTACTCCACCTCTTCCTTCTGTTCTCCTGTGGGTTGGCCTCGTTTTCAGGCAGGTCTTCTCCTCACAGTGATAGAGATGACTGTAAAAGTCACCTCCTACGAGTTCAAAACTCCCCATGGGGAAAGGGTGTCTTTTCCAACAGCTGTGGAAAGTGTCCCAAGAGGACTGTGGTTGCCCCCAGCTTGAGTCACTGCCTATTCCCGACCCAGTCACTGGCCGGGGGGAGCACTCTTCCTGGCCAGGCCTGAGGCTGAATGTGTGCCTGGTGGCCGAGGACAAGGGCAGTTCCATCCTGTTACATGGCCTGAGCTAGACTATTGGGGGGGGGAGGTTCCCTGAAGGTAAACTGGACAGAAATGTGTCCACTGTAGACAGGGTTTCCTAATGCCAAGAGTTCTCACACTTTCCCTAAACAGAGTGTCGGTCCTTCTTTTATCAAGCAAGGAAAGATTAAGCATTTGCTCTATATGAGATTTGTACCTTGTAAGTTTTTGCCTGTATCTTTAGGCTTCTCACTCTTCTACATTTTAAGAAATATTTCTGCAAATTATTCTTCTCTCATTACTTAATTCAAAAAACACATTAATGCCTATAGTATATAAAACTCTATTCTAGATGCACAGGGAAATTCAGCATCAGAAGAAAGCGTGGTCCTAGTCATACAGTATGTAGAACCTGTGAGTATACAGATGTCGTCTCTGCTGGGAGTCAGTCTGCTGCAGGAAAACGCAGTGGGGCTTCCCGGGGAGTGGGGTCGTTACTGTTCCTGGTGTCCCAGGTGATTTTGGTGGTGGTTTCTCCGACCTTGATACAATACCTCTGTTACAAACGGCAAGGGTGTTTCCTGCAGATGTACAGTCAGAAACCAAATACAAAACAATAGAGGATGTAGTTTGGTCTACAACACACGAACTACTAAGAGTATGAAGACAGTTTAAAATGCTAAGGAAAATACTGTTGTAACTGCTATAAAATTCCTAAAGTTGAAATTTTCCTCTTTTCTTTTAATATGTTCCCCAGATAGGACAACTAAAGCTGTTTAACCTACTTCCCTACCATGTCCTGCCTACTGATGCAAAGTAAATTAAAAAGTTTTAAAATTAATGGTACAGACCCTAGAGTTGGTTCCCACCAATTGCCTGAATTCCAGGGAGCTTATCGCCCTGTGGGGAGAGGCATGGTAGGCTTCAAAACCTTCTGGCAAAACTTGTCAGTCTCCTGAGAGAAGGGATAAAGAGAGAGAGACTGTGGGGGAGGGGGAGCACTGGGATGGAGTTGGGGTGGGGGTGGTCGTACATTTGCCTCCCTGCCCTGCAGGGTCCTCTTTTTCTGACCACCTGACCCGAAGCCTAGCAGTAATCCCTTAGTGCTTGGTAGCTGTCATCATTATTAGCTTCTTCCCTTTTCTCTTTTGATAGTTTTATTCAGACTTGTGTGCTGCAGTGCACTGTGACACTTGGATTTGGCAGGGGTGTCTCCAGTTCGGGCATGTGTGTTTGCTAAATTAGACTGCACTCCCTCAGTGCGACTTTCTTCCCATTACTTACTGTTTCTGGTTCTCCTCATCTCCATTTGTGTGATTTCTGTGACTTTTCACTACAGAAGCTTCCAAATATGACCTTAATAAAGATTTCCCAAAGATCGTTTTCCTGCTGTGAACAGCCTGATCCAGCGAATCAACCTTAGGAAGCGGCGAGACTCGCTCATCCTGGGCGGTGTTGTCGGTGTCTGCACCATCCTGTTGCTGCTGTACGCTTTCCATTGACGGGGCGTCTCCAGGGACTCGCGGCAGCCGCCACTTTTGGGCCCTGATCTGGAATGAGGAAAAGTAGGAAGGAGACATTGACGGTCCTGATGATTAGCCGGGCCGGCAGGGTTATTCAGGACTGATGCTGCTGGATCTGTGACACAGGTTGAGCGGAAGCCAGTTTTTCTGTGCCGTTTTTTCTAACACACACTTCCTTCTGTTTTTAGTTTAAAAAAAAAAAGAAAAATGAGGAAAAGTTTTGCGTTGCTTTTGTCTCCCCCAGAGGTAAGTAAACCAAGCAGAAAGAGCGTCTGTGCGTCAGCGATAGTGTTGCAGGCCGACGACGGCCAGGTCTTAGGGCCAACTGACTCCTCAGAAAACCAAGTCTGTATCTAAAGACTGCTCTCCTTTAGCTGCCAGATTGGGTTGTGAATAAAAACAGTTCTTGTCCTTTCATTTTATACTCATGATGAAAAATCACAAGTCATTTCTTGATAAATTTCTACTCTGTATCCTCAACTCCTTTGGTATTCAAGAAAAATTCCATTTTTCACAGATTCTTTGAGATGCTGACAGGCCAACTCTAACAGGGGAGGTGGTCTCAAGTGAGAAACACTTGCAAAGACGCATTTTTCTTTCTTTTTTTTTAATCATGTGCACACTGGGGTGGGTTAACTATTGCTGGAAAAATATCAGGAATGACAGGCTTTTTTTTTAAGGAGTCAATTATTATTTTGATTTTTTGTTTATTTCTTCAGTTGGGATAACTTTTGCTATATGAGAAAGTGAAATCTTAGTTCTCCCAGGACAGAAGAAGCTGCTAGCCGGTGTCGGTCGGCGCCCCCAGCCACTCCTCAATGGGTCGGGAGGAGCGCCGATGGCGGAGTGAGGGGCCGCGGGGTCCCCAGGGAGGTCTAGTAGTGAACAGGCCACCAGTTACGAGACATTGATTGAGGGGTCACCGTTCAGATAATTCCATTTGTAAATGCTCTACCATTTATGAGCAAATGTTTTAAAAATTACCACCTGATGTAACAGGAATTCTGTGTTCTGGGAAAATCTCTTCATTCCAAGTGTGTTAAGCTTTTCCAAACATCCAGAGAATAGTTTTGCTGTTGAAGACGCGCGTGTCAGAATCTGTCTGTCTGCACCTGTCTTCTGTTACCGTCCCTGGGCAGTGACAGAACTTGAAACCACCTACCAAATTCTTTTCAAGTTTAACCATTTCTCAGTCTCCGTACGTTCATTACTCGTCTAACCAAACTACCACAGATAGTTTGAAGACTTCCAACATCTACACTCCTCACCGAGAAAGAAGGCTGCTTTTCACCATTGGAATCTAGTAGAGTGTATACAGCATTGGCTCCAGACTGTGCCACCGGGAATAAACGGATATTAACATGTAGTTCTTGACTATGTTCTAATGTGTCGATGGACTTGATATACAGGCTGGTGGGTAGACTGACCCATGGTCTGATACGGAGACTGAGAGGTTTTTCATTCTGGTGTCAAAGTTTTATTATGTTCTGGGTATGAAAGGCATTTGATGTATTTTTTTAACTATGGGTTTTATTTTTCTAAAATAAAATATGGGTTGATTGATCAGTAGTTGATTGGGGATGCCCTTAAAAGAGAGTAAGTTTTCCCAGTGCGAGCCTTCAAGGGTCATGGAAGTCCATTTATTAAATTCTCTGTTGGGAGGACAAAACTTTTCTCCCTGACACTTTATTATCTTTGATTTTTCAAAGGGCCTTGATTGGTGGTTGTACCTCAGCTAGAATTTATGGGACTTTGGTTGCGATATAGTTGGCATTTATAAAATCTGAAGTACCATAAATAAAATTATTTATTTAATTATACTACCAGTCTTTTCTGCTGGTCTGATTATTGGGTGCATTTGTTGAAGCTGATTGTGTGACAGTAAAACCGGAACCCGAGCTGATCTGGCCTGCTGCAGCTAAGCAGGCAGACACTTCTGATGACTGACGGGCCTTTCCATTAGGGTTCTGCTTAAATGAAGTAATAGAATTGTGTTGATTATTTTCTTTACAAAGATAAAGAAACCAGTTCTTCCAAGGAAGCTGAAGAAGTGTACTGTTGGCATCAGCGTCAGACAGGTCTGACTGAGCCCCCAGTGCTGTAGCCCGCAGTGAGGTGACCGGGACCCAGGGCGGGTTAGCGAGGACCGCGCTCATCCTTCCCGCTCGTGGGCCCCTCACTTGAGAGAGAAAACCTAGAGCCGGGACTAGAAGTGTGCTGCTTACCTGTGTCTCCGTTTGGGTCCCAGGTAGCTGATCTAAGAAGCCTTTCCATTCAATTTCACTTGACTTTTTTAATCATCTTGGGTTTTTCTCTTCTGTTTTGCTGTCCTTAAAGACCCGTTGCCAGGCCAGGAGCCAACAGTAAGCTACTCTCATAGCTGTCGGAGAGAAGGGATTTTCTGCTCCTAGGTCCAAACGTTGCCTCTCAGGGGACGTGGTCTCCCCCAGCCATTGTCTCATACAATGATCATTCCTTGTGGGATCTTTTCTGTAACCACTCAGAATTTTCCATTTCACAAAAAGTATGGAAGGCAGAAAATTCCAAAAGGTATACTTCTGAGATTTTGTCTTAATGTATGCTGGTAACTTCAGTAAAAATTTGTAAGTCTGTTACTGAAGTTCAAGCGGAAATATCCGAGTGCTTTGGTCACCCTGTCCTGGCTGTCTCTACATTCTTTTTTATTTTTCTGTTAGATGCTGAAGGATTCCCTGCAACCTGCGTTGCTCACACTTTATTTGTCTAATGTTAGAAAAGGGCTTTCCTTCTCCACTGTCCGCTCTCCTTTGTACTAAAATTCCCTTTACAGAGAAGGCCATCTTCCAGACCGCCCTGTGCTCAGACCAGGCACAGGAGTCCACTCCCGAGCATGGACGGTGATGAGAGACATCATGAGGGCACTTCTTGTACCTAGAACCAAATAGCTTTACTTCAGTTCTTTCCTGTTGGATGCCGAATACATCTGATAGAAAAATGGACATATTTGAGCTGTTTGACCTCTGTGGAATTGAGGCACCTTGGACTTACATTCCCACCATTAATTTTCTGTTTTACTGCTAATGATCTCAACTTGGTGAAAAGGACTTTAAAGAACTGGACCGGCCTTTTTGATTTCTAGTACTTCATGTTTGATCATTAGCCAGATATGATTTCTTGGAAATTGGGTTTTCTAACTTGCAATATTAAGCTAATGAGGATAAATGGCCATGGCTAGTGTTACACTGAACTTGGTGACAAATGTAACTAAAAAACAAGTGGATTCTACTCAGAAAAAAGGGTTGCATTCCATTCTCCTTTTGCGTTTTGCGTTGTTGAGCCTAGTCTCCAAAAGATGCCAAACTTTACATCGTGATCTTTAACACTTTAATCTTTGTTACTTCTTTATAAACCTGCATGTCCTTAAGTTTTATAGAAGAAAAGAAAATGAGGAAGGAACAAGTGACTCTTCTTAATCCTCACTGAGGATTTTTATTGTTTTTTTTTTGTTTATTTGGTTGGTTGGTTTTTTTGAAAGAGAGAGAAACATCAGTCAGTTCCCATACATGCCCCAACTGGGGACAAACCCAGAACCTGGGTATGTGCCCAGATTGGGAATCGAACCTGCAGCCTTTTGGTGTACAGGACAACGCTCCAACCGAGCCACCCGGCCAGGAGGGAACCAGTAACTCTTATTGTTAATTGGATCAGAAGCTGAGACAAAGCTGAGCCATGTCTTGAGAAATCTTTCTCATTTTCTTTATATGCAAGGTCTCACTTTAGTATCAAAGTATTTGCATTTATTGCCATCCTATTAGCTCTTAGGGAGGGAAATCAATTCCATTCACACTTCACCATGATGAAAGATGTTTTCTCATGAAAAATGCCAATACAGGTTTTTAAAAATCTATTCCAAATGCACTTTCTAACTTTTTGCTTTTAAAATGGCTTCTTGGAACCAGTTTAATTGTATTTGTATTTAATTTTGTTCTCATCTAAATGTGCATTTTCTGACTGTATACAAAAAGCTTTGTTATGTAATTTAATAATAAATTAGAAACCTAAATGGTTGCGGCTATGGTTGTTTGTTTTGGAATAGTACCATCAAGGCAGTTTGGGGTAGTGAATATGAAGTCTTTGGTTTTGGTGAGTGTTTCTCATGAGGTCCTGAGACCCAGGGTGAAACAGAACAGGTGCTGAAAATCCATCACTTTCTATTCCAAAACATCATATGAATATTCCACTGATAATTTAGCTCAAGAAGTGAAGGAGAAATTGCTTATCAAAATGAAACTTCAGAAGATATGGTGAGAATATCAAATTTAGAATTTGGCAAGAAAAATGTTCCCACCCTCCCTAAATAATGACTTTTTACCCTATAGATCAGAACTGGGCTCTCCACCCCACCAGAAAATTTGAAAATTCCCCATTTCCTATCACCTTTCCAAATGTCCTTAAGTTTTCTGGAGACTTTGTAAAAATAATCATATAATTGAGATATAATTTACCCTTTTAAAATGTACTGATGTGTTTCAGTATATTGTGCAACCAGCACCACTAACTTCAGGACATTTCATCACCCAAAAAGCCTTGTCCCTGTTAGCAGTGACTTCCCATTGCCCCTGCATCCTTTTCATCTGACCACGCTGCCCTTCCTTTCTTGCCACCCCCCACAGCTTTCCCCTCCTGTCCACTCACACAGCCTCTTTTAAAGCGCCACCTCTTCCCTGGGATTTTGTGTGTGTGTGTGTGTGTGGCTGCCTCACATGTGCTCAGCCCTTTGTGTGCACACCTCCATGTAGACCTGCATAAAACCCAACACCACCTAGTGAGGTAGCCTCCTCCTGTTCTTACAGAGAAGGAAACAGCCCATAAGGATTAAGTAATTTGCTCAAAATTGGAGTAAACAGTAAAGCAAGGATTTGAATCTTCAGGGTTCTTTGATGCCAACAAGTCTTGTGATGGTTCCACAAAATGCATTTTAACTCATGCTGTATAAGGACAGAAGATATAAAAGAACCACCAATTTTGCCTGCTTAAAGACCATACATTTAGAATCTATTTAAAGCTCTATGTCTTGATTATTTTCAAAAAAGGCTAACTACTAGACAAATGCTTAATAAAAAGGACCCTTTGTAAATCACTTGACAAGAACTAATGCAATTGATTTGTAGAAAATGTTTTTTCTAGTGGCTTTACTTTAAACCAAACTTCCAGCCCAACTCTTTGTACCTTCCACTTTAGAACTGCTGAGACCTTTGTAGAGATGGGGAACCAAGCCCCTCAGCCCAGGTCCTCAGTCAGGGGCACCCACACTAGGGAAGTGGTGCGGGTCCCTTCCAGGTGGAAGGGCTTCAACAGGCCGCTGCCCCTGCTGAACCCAGCCTTTCCTTGGGAAAGGGTCTGAGGCTCTGCCCCATCATGCCTTGTCTGATGTCAGAGATGCCTAGAAGTAAAAACGGGTGGCTGGAGAATCTCACTGACGTTACTTGCTATCAGGACATTTTCTCTGATTTCTCTAAAGCAAAAGCCAGGAGAAGATGCAGATTTGCTGGCTGAGTTGGCACAGAGAGGAATGGAGGCACTTTAGCCCGATGCCTTCCGCTCCACTTGGCCAAGCTTCCCCCTTTGGCAGGGCTGCTCAACTTGCAAAGCTCTTTATTACTTACTCTCTCAAGACGCTTAAAAGCTAAGAAGACTGGGTGCTGAAAGTCTAGCTTTCTGCTTGGAGGAATCCAGCAATCCCTTGGCAGTGTTCTCCGCACCCTTGTAAAATTACCCTGTAATTTGTTACCCTGATCTGTGCTTGCCCTGATCATCTTCCCTCCAGTGAGATACAAAGCTCTTAGGGAACAGTCACTTTCTCTTAATTAGTGTACATCTTTTAGATACTTTCAAACATCTGATTGGTCCTTTGCTAATGAAATTGCTTACAGTTTCAGGGGGAGCAAGGAAAAAGGGCTGGTAGCTATTTGTAAGTCAGTGCCAAAATGTATTGTTTGAGTGTCATTTCCTCCAAAGTGACAAGTCATCTCTAAATGCGTGCAGCACTTAATTCTTACAATTCTCCTTGTGGATGATATGTTGAGAATGTGGCATTTTGCGTTTTTTACCCTGGAATAAGTGCTCAGTCCTCTCCCTTTCCTTCTGTCCCAGTTGCTCGTCCCACAGCTGGGTCCCTGGTGTTGGTTACTGGGCTTGCGTGTAACCTCCAGCCCCTGACCCGGGTGCCCTGCCTCTCATCTGACCCTCTCAACCCGCTCTGCACGTAGCTGGGTGGTGTATCTCCCTAAACAACTTCCAATCCCTCGTTGCCCTGCTCGAGGATGTCTGGCAGCTCCCGATCACCCATGCCAGTGCTACAGTGAGTTACCGCATGGAAGCCTCAGCCGGCACGTTGCTTCCTTCACGCATGCGTAAGTTCATGCGTATGTACGTGCATACTCCACACTTTCAAACAACAGAAGCCTGTTCACTTAGCGAGATGGGATTGTCCTTTTCAGATGAGAAGCCCAAGAGATCAAAGCGCAACAGGTCCTCAAATAACATCATTTTGTTCAATGTCACTTCATTATAACCTTGATGGATGCCATAGCAAGTTAACTCTTTAATATCAATTAGCCTGTGGTAAAATTGGTTTGGTTATACGTCATTTGCTTAAAGTCACAATGTATCAATGTGAAGTGAGGACTCACTGTACTGATAGCCACCCGCTGCCCTTTGCCAGACCAGAGTTTCCTCGCCCCCATGAACTGCGGTCAGCAGTGAAAAGAATGAGGCTTGGAGTCCGAAGTCCTGCATTCGGGCGCTGAATCTGCTACTGTTTTTAGGCCATGGGCAATCG